GCCGCACGTTGCTGAAGCGCGTCTTCATCACGGGGTCCTGAGAGGAGGCAGAAACTACAGTCAGAGGGAATAAAGACACGATCTAATACCAGATCATTAGGGGGGGAAAAGGGGAATTAGCTCAAATGGTAGAGCGCTCGCTTAGCATGTGAGAGGTAGTGGGATCAATGCCCACATTCTCCAAAGACAGGCTTTATATAGCTTATTGTCATAGTGATGAGAAATATAATATTGGGTCTACTCTGTAAGTCGCTTTGGAGAAAACAGATATAAACAGAAACAGCAGGAAGCCCCACATGGATCATCCTTAGAGACTGGAAATGGAAATTTAATTTAGTCTTTTGTTACTTTTTTCATTTAAAATCATTTCAAATAATTTCAAATCGTCCCTTTAAAAAAAATGGTGAAAATGAACTGTTTTCCTCTGATTGCAGATCATTTAAAGGATAATTCCTCACCTACACCAGCTTCCTTTCACATTTGAATAAATACCTTTAAAATCTTAAAACATATTTAGATGCTGAAATAAGTCCTTCCATTTATAACCATATTTAACCATAGTTTAGAGGATATGAACAGTTTAGTATATAAATTGGCTGAATTTTCTGGACTCATCATTTTTGTCTTTCTTTTCTTTTCTTTTTTTTCTTTTCTTTTTTTTGTCTTTATTTTCTGAGGTTTTGGTCCTATGCTCCACTTTCTTTAATAAAATGAGATATTGGTTTAGATATTTAGATATTCAACTAATACCTAAATCCCTCTTTCCCAAATTCTTCCTCTCTAGAATTTCCGTCCACATTTTGGAGGATTTATGGTTTTCATGCTGTAGAATCGAATCCTTTGGTCTGGTGCTCACATGGTCCAGGCCCCGCCCACTTCGCCCAGGCCCCGCCCACCAGGTCCAGGCCCCGCCCATATTAACCAGGCCCCGCCCATATTAACCAGGCCCCGCCCATCGTACCAAGGCCCCACCCAGATATTTAGATATTGAACTAATACCTAAATCCTTCTTTCCCAAATTCTTCCTCTTTAGAATTTCCGTCCACATTTTGGAGGATTTATGCTTTTTATGCTATAGAATCGAATCCTTTGGTCTGGTGCTCACATGGTCCAGGCCCCGCC